AAACATTACACAAAATGGGGGAACCTGGAAGACATTATGTTGAGTGAAATATCTCACTCACAAAAGGACAAATACTGCATAACACCACTGTTATAAAATAGGACAGACATGGAGGGGTTGGGGAAAGAATGGGAAAAGAATGGACAGATAATAAATACTGTATTAAAACATATGAGAGGGAAGAACAGTAGAAAAGGAATAATGATTCGGCATTGACAATAATCTGAAACAAGGGGTGCATTGGAGGGAGGGCTGGGGGACAGAGATAAAAAGGAGGGAAAAATGCACAACAATGAATTTTTTAAAGTATTCGGTGTATATATATGATGAGGGAAAGAACAGATTAGAAGTGATATATGATTGAGTATTATGGTTAGCACAGGAATCCAGAATTAAGGTTGCATAGAGAAGTGTACTCAGGGTGGGGAGTGGGGGAGCAAGAGATGGGGGAATTGTATATTAATGAAGGAATTTTTTTTTCTTTTTCTCTTGGAGAGGGAAGCGAGCTGGTGGGGAGGGGTGGGCAGGGAGAAAAGTGCGGCAATGAATGAATGGAAATCCAAAACCTCTGTAAATGTCTATTAAAATTAATAAGGATAATAAAAAAATTACTAGAAAAGAGCTGCCTCCTCAAAGCAGAGTCTATCTTAATGATACAAGTAGAGTAAGACTCTTATCCAATGAAGGACCCTCATTTACTGATATGGTAAGACTCAAAATAAGAAACAACTGCAAACATCTAATAATTGGGACATGAAATGTATAATGCATGAATCTAGGAAAATCTGAAACTGTGAAAAATGAAATTGACACATGTTCCATCACCTTAGCCCCGAGTTTTTTCTCTTTAGCTCCTGGTCACCACTAATAAATTTCACTCTCTCAAAATTGCCTTTTGGACTTTTTTTTTTTACATACAGTCATACAGTGTTTTCCTTTTTCTTGATGAGCTTATTTTGTGTTGCATAATGTCTTCAAGTTCATCCTACATATTAAGAGTTCATTTCACCTACTGACTGAATAGTTTTACATTGTACGTATGCACCAATTTTGTTGACTATTCACTTGTTAATAGGCATTTAGGTGGTTTCCACCTTCTAACTATTGTGAATAGTGCTGAAATAAACACTGATAGATAAGTCTCTGCTTTTAAGTCTTTTGAGTATGTACCTAGGAATGGAATTTTGAGATTCTATAGTACTTCTATTTCTAACTTCCCCCTCCTTTTCTTTTTAAAAATTGGTTTCTATGAAAGTCTGCAGAACAAATTGGTTTTCCATTGAGCCATGCATCTGCTTTTTGTTTTAGGACATTAATTATAATATCTACAATGTAACCACACTCTTCCCCTTTTTGTCCTGCAAGTCTCATTTCTGTTAATCTTCTTTCCCCTCCCGCCTTCTGAATTTCATCCCTGGGCAAATGCTGCCCTTTTGATCTTGTGTGGTTGATTATAATGAATGAATACCTTTCTACTGTGATTGTTCACTATGTTTATTATTTGGCTGAAAATGTTGAGTTCTATTCCAAGCTCAAAGTGTGTCTAAGGGTCATAGTCTTGCAGGTTCTGCCAGTCTCTATCAGATCAGTAAGCCTGGCCATTTTTATGGTTTTTAGTCCATATTTTTCAGCTACTCTGTCCAGGATCTTCTGCTGCAATCTCCTTTAGCTCAGTCAGCAGTGGTGGCCATGTACATTTAGCTCTTCTGGTCTCTTCTGTTTTCATTTGTTTTGAAGACTCACCACACTGTAGTTTCTACAATATCTATACAATTTTGCATTCTGTCCACAATGTGTAAGGGTTCCTATAAGCCACCATTTATTTCGTTTTTAAATCTTAGCCATCCTAGAGGAAGTGTAATGATAGCCCATTGTGGTTTTGACTTGTATCTTGCTCATGGCTAATGATACTGAACATCATGTATTTGATGCCATTTGAATATCTTTAAAAAAACCCAAAACCCCAAAGACCAAACTCTGGCCAATTTTATTCAAGAAAAATATTATATAATTTCTTTTCACCAGTCTGTTCTGGCATGCTTCTAATGATATCAGAACCACCTGGATCTAAGACAGCGAATGCGCATACTCGGTAGTATTTTCTGCATTTCTGGCCAGTTCAACATTATTGCTACTGTATGATGGACACCAGTTTGAGCCAGCGTGGTGTAGTACTCGATTTTAGATTTCCTCAAGGCTAGGCAACTGGCGAGGATGACCAGCTTGACTTTTCCTTGCCTGATCATCTTCAGAGTCTGCTTGTACCTCAGCACTTAGTTTCCACTTTTCATAACAAGTTGGAGCCTAGAGTTGACCAACTCCAGGGACTTTTTTGCGGCTACCATCTTTTCTCCGGCCCTCCACCATCAGCTGCTGACAAAATGGGCACTATTTGAACATCTTTAGTGAAATGCCTTTGCCCATCCTATGATTGTGTTGTGTATAACAAAGATCTTGACCTCTCAACTAGGAAGCATTTCCCAAGTGTTTCCTTCCACTGTAGGACAGTGTCTCATGCAGCTGACTGTTGAGGTTGAGTTGAAGCTACATTCTACCCTTAGGATGTGGACGGTCTGGCATGGGTAATCTCTTGTGTCCTCCAGTTCTGTGATATATATCCTTATCTTTAGGTATAGATAGACGCATCATGAGTGAGACAGTGAGGACTGGGAATATTTTAGGTAAATATAATCAGAAAAAATCAAACCATCATCTAGATGTGGGGTATGTTGGGAAGATGACAGGAGAAGAGAACCTTTAATTGTACCTTAGAAGGAGATGATGAGAGAATAAATTTTAGAATGAAGGTCAGGGAGGAGAGAAAGGGATGTGTGTTGAGGGCAATCCAGTTCATGAATAGCAGTTTGTTGGTGTCCTGGCAGAAGCAAAAGAGAAAGTTCACGTCTGCAGCTATGAGATGACAGTGAGGGAGCCATCATGCTTTAAAGCAACTCTTCCCAATCATTCCTACTTGGCAGGTGATGTAATCAAGGCTCACACAGCAAAGGGCTCTCCAGTCTACCAACAGCAGGTGAAAATCCCAAGAAACAGGGAGAGCTCACAGGATAGGAAGCTGGAAAGGAAGGATACTTGGCCTAGTACGGATTGGGTCTTGGGCCAGTGCACTGCAAGTGGAAGGAAGGAAGCAGAAGCCAAACTAATGCCAATAAAGTACTCAGTAGGAGGGAACTGTGAGAATAACAATGTGGCCAAAATGTGAGAGATACGAAGATGTCAAGATGGAGTGTGGTCGCTGTTGTTAAGGTGCTTGTTGTTGTTGTTATGTGCCGTCGAGTCGTTTGTGACTCATAGCGACCCTATGTACAACAGCCCTAAACCCTGCTCTATCCTGTGCCAATTGCATTGCCTCTGACACACCCATCCTGACTACAACTGATAGCCATCCTATAATCCTAGAGAGAATCATTTGAGCAGGGAGGTGGAGGAAGAAGCCAGACTTCAAGATTAAAGCAAGCAGGGCAGTACTGGGTGTGTGATGGAGAGGCAGACAGTGTGGACCCTCTCAGGTGTTTCCTGGTAACAAGAGGGAGATGGAGTGGGTTTGTGGGAGTGGATTACAAGGGTAGAGCTGCAGGAAGAGTTATTGACTTGTTTTCATACAGAGAACACCTGAGCACATCTGTGGGTGGGAGAAAAGGAACCAGGGGAGGCAGGAGAGAGGTTAGAGATGAGTACTGTGAGGGAGGGCTGTGCTGGAGGCCAGCGAATTCACAGAACTCCTTTCTAGAGGTGGTAGAAGAGAAGCAAATACTGATTAGCCTTGGTGGGAGGTGGGACATGTTACTTCGTGACAAGAGGGAGAGATGAAAGGTGGTGTGGGGGTGTGGACAGAGGGTTTGTCAGATACTGGGAGAATGAGGCCAGGATGGGGGTGGCCAGATAACTGTTTCTCTAAATCTAATTTACCAAGAATTAAAAGCAACCGCTGCAGAGGGGAAGAGGGCTGAGCTGGAGTCACGAGAAGTGTGGGAGAGCTGAGGACACCCAAGGTGGTGGCTGCAGCCTGGGAACCAATGACAGATGGAGTAGCTTGTCCAGCTGAGGCTAGTCAACACCAGGCTATGATTGGCCCAAAGGACAAAAACAGTGGCACTCACTTTCTAGCCATTTCTGGGGTGGAGGGAAGGGCCGCAGGGCTGGTTCTGGGTGGGGAGCTGGCAGAAAGAATAACCAGTTACTCTCCTTCCCACTGGTGTACTCCCCTCACAGCCCCGCCACCCTGTGCCACCCAGATAAAACTGCACAAGCCATAGGCTTTGTCTTTTAATAAAAAATAAAAGTGTCTGTGACAAGCAGTTTTCTGTATCTCAAAACCAAGGAGAGAGGTCAAGGGGGCAGCCAGTGTGGAGGACCAGATGAGGTTTAGATTACCCCTGCCATTTAAGCCAGGTGGATGGGATGAAACTGCTCAAATGAGGCAGGAAGGAGGGTGGTGAGACTCCAGGAACAGGGGTCAGCAATGCGTGACTGGTCAGGGGAGCAGCCAGGGGACACTCCTCAACAAGCTAAAGAGGCCCCTGAGAGCGGGGAACGTTGGTGTCCAAGGTGATAGCTGCTTTTAGGTTGGCGCTTATGGTGGAGACGGTTGGTGCTTATCACCACAGGTTCCTGGAAGTCAGGAATTTTAGGGCCTCCGGGAACATACACTTCTGGAGAGTCCCTGGAATGCTGAGTACTGAAGGAGTCTCTCGAAGTCCTCCTGTCATAACCCGGATGCAGGTCTGGGGCAGCCCTGGCTCCAATCACGGAGCCTTTGCCCCATGTGCTTGGTAGAGGGAGCCACAGAGGGTCTCGCCCTGTGGCGGCCTCCCTGGTGCCATCAGGAGTGCAGAGTGGCAAGAGCAGCTCTTCTCATGAGAGGGAGAGGAAGGTGGCTTTTGTGCTACTCCCACCCTGATGAGGGCTGCTGCTCCAGGCCCCCAGGCAGCACAGCCAGGGTCCCTGCCCTACCGAACAGCCCCCGCTTGTGTCTACAGAGTTCACACCACCTCAGTGCCCAGGTGGTTGTTGTCCGCATCCACGTCACTGGCAGAGGTCTTAGGGGGCTTGTGGGGCTTCTCCTTGCTTAGTGGGGCCTTCTCCCCAGGGGGGAGATTTCCACAGCCTTGGACCTTCCCCCGGGCTCGGAGTGCCCCCAGTGGGGAGGCGAGGAGGAAGATGAGGGCTCCTGAAAGCACTAAGGCGAGAAGCACAGTGACTGTGAGGAAATGGGGCCAGTAGGACCGCTGGGCAGCCAGGGCAACCCCACCACCGGCCCTGGTCAGCGGAGCCTCCATACGCTCACGGGGAATGCCTGCCAGTTCAGGGTCCAGGGCAAGGGGCTGGTCCTGGCTGTCCACCCAGTAGGAGACCACAGGGTATGAGAACCTCCGTTCAGTGGCCCAGCACTGGTACAGACCCCCAACTCCATCCCTCAGGAGCAGCAAGAGGGAGCCATTGTAGACAGAAGAAGAGGCTTCTGGGACAGCTGCTGCACCATGACTCCAGTGGTAAGAGGCCAAGGCTGAGGGGTGGGGGCAGGGGAGCTCCAGGATGGAGTTGGGGACGGCCAGGACTTCTTTAACTGTAGAAGGAAATGGCGTTAAAGAGTTAAGGGTTGAGGAAGGAAACAGGTGAGCCTCAACCTTACATTTGGACCTCAACTTTCATCTTCATTACTCTCCCAAGTTACATTTCAACTACTAATCTCAACTCTGACCTTTTTCCTATCCCATTTGGACCCCAAACCAACCTCTAGTCTTACCTTATCCTTTCACCCTGAAATGTAACTCCATCTCTGACATCAAAATCAACTTCAATCTCAGTCTTGAATCTTGGCTTAGAATACTTGTCCTTCCACCTGATAGCCTATGGTGGCCTAGTGGTAAGGAGCTGCATTGCCAATCTAAAGATAAGCAGTTCAAATCCACTAGCTGCTCTGTGGGAAAAAGATGGGCAATTTCTTCCCACAGGATTTACAGCCTCTGAAAACTTACTGGAGGGTCAGCTTTGAGTCAGTTCTGACAACTAACTCTTTATAACTAGGACCCACATCCACCCTTGCTCTGAGTGCCTGGGTCTTAAGCTAGGCAGGTGCAGAGGACAAAATGGGCAGGAATACCCACCCTAGATCCAAAACCTTTGACAGTGTCTGTGCCCCCCCCCCAAGCCCCATACTCACTGATTTGGGGGCGGCTCTGAGGCTGGTGACTCCTGCCCACAGGGCCATTGGCACATGCCCATCTTGGATCCCCCTGCTCTATGTCCTGTTTCCAGGAGCTCCTGAGGGGTCAGGGAAAGCAAAAGCAATCCTCTGAAATAGATAAAAGTAGGCAGAGGAGTGGGGAAGGGAGAGGGAGGGCAGTGCTGTGGGTAGTAGGTGGGCTCAGGAGACAAGAAAGAGCAGAGGACAGGAGGAGAAACCCAGGACTGCCTGGAGACCCCAGGAGGGAGGACCCCACAATGGGGAGGTACAATCTTAAAGTGAATGGAGGTCCTGGCAGACCAATGGCTACCATCTGTTACTGGCACTCACAGAAAAGGCGTGGACAGGAGGCGGCAAGTTCGGGACTCCATGTCCCAGGCACAGTGGGGGTCCCGGGCAAGGACACAATCCACACAGCTCTCATATACGCTGCAGTTGGCTCGGGGCACCCTCTGGACACCTCCTGAGAAGCCTGCAAACACTGCACCCTTCAAAATAAATGAAGAATGTGAGGGGGCTGCAGACCCACCCAGTAAAGAACTGGGAGGGCCTTGGCCAGATTCCCAAGGCCCTGGCCCACCAGAAGGACATCTGAGGGACAGGTCCCTTCCCACCTGAGCAGGTGCCAGCTGCAGGTTCCTAACAGGCTCAGGAGCAGGGAACAGCTGGATCTCCTCCACCAGACGAGCACTGTTGCCCTGACTCACCACTGCCTTGTGCAGGGACCCCGTGGCTGTGCAGAGACAAGAGAGGTGGCATCTGCTCACCTCATCCAGGCCTTCTCCCTTCTCCTTGCCTCCTGAGGCCTCCCACACTGTCAGGAAGCTCCTCCTGAAGTCCAATGTGCATAGACACAAAGCACTTGGACTGTTTCCTCAATCCTATGCAGAGGGAGCTCTCTCTTATACATGGCTTAAATCCCCTTGCTTTCTGCCCTTTCTTTGCAGTGGCCTAACAAAACCCCAACCTTGAGCAAACCTATGTGAAGTGGGCATTTAATCACTTCTGTAGAAAACAGGAGGAGCCCTGGTGGCAAGGTGAACTGCTGAAAGGTGGGAGAGAAGTAGGCAGTTTCCTCTTGCAAAGACTTTCAGCCTCAGACACCCAGTGGAGGGTCTCCGTGAGTCAGAATGGACAGGACAGCGGTGGGTTTGGGTTTTGGGCAGAAAACTCATCACCTGCCTCCTACCTCCAGCAGAACTTGACCTCAGTGAGATCTACCCTAACAACCTTTAAAAAACTGCAACCTGACTCCCTCTCACCCTGCTCTAATTTCATAACATATTATGTAATTTCCTCATTTGGTATGTCTACTGTCTGTCTCCTCCCACTCCAAAAAGACTGAGATTTTTATCAGTTTTGTTCACTGCTGTATTTTTATCAGATTTGTACACAACTGACACTGTTCTTGGAAGATTAAAAACAACAAAAAAACAGTTGCCAATGAGTTGATTCTGACTCATGGAAACCCCTATGTTCAGAGCAGCACTGCCTTCCACCGAGGTCTCAAAGCTCCTTCCGGAAGGAGATCACAGCTCTGGCTTTGAGGTGCCTCTGGGTGGGATCACACTGCCAGCCTCCCCATTACTGTAGCATGCTTGACCACATGTGCCACTTGGGAACTACAGAGCAGGCGCTCAATAAACATGTCCTGAAAGAATGACTGCTGTTGGTGGGCTGCTTCACTTGCAGCTCATGGTCCTCCACCTCAGTGGGACCCTAAAACGTCTGCCAATCTTCCCACATCTTTCTGCTGACTCTCCCTTTTTCCACACAACTTTGTGAACCTGCTCCTCATTCTTCTGCCATTTCTACCTCCCATCTCTTCTACTTCTTCACTCCCAGCTTATAATCAGTTTCCTCCTAAATTCTAGGGAATTTAAAAAACCTTCAGCGATCCCTGGCCCCTGAAATGACACACCCACGGCATCTGACCCTACTTCACTCCTATCCCTGAGAGGTGCCGGTTATCCCTCCTCCATCCAAAGCCATCTCCTCCACCAGTGTTCTGGACTCCTACCTTCTGCTCCCTCAGTTTCTTTACCTGCCAATTGTCCCTTCTCTTGACCATCTCTTCACTATCTCCCTTCCTGCTGAATCCCCATTCTCTTGCATCTTTCAAAAAAGAAATCTTGTTGGATCCCACGCCCAATCCAATCACCACCCTTTCATATCTTCCCTTCAGTTAGGCTTCCAGAAATGAGTCCTGTGCTTGCTACTTCCAGCTCCCTTTCACCTATTTACTCTTCATCCCTCTTCCATGGCTACCTCTCCTCACAAGTCAAGCAGCTTTTGTTAAGGCCACCAAAGACCTCTATGTCTGTCTCCTGAAGCAAAATGTAAAGCTCAGAAAAGAACAGGTTAGGGAGCTCCGGTGGTGTAGTGGCAAGAAGCTGCACTGCAATCCCAGAGATATGCAGTTCAAAGCCACCAGATGCTCTGCTGGAGAAGGAGTAATCTCCTCCTGTACCAGTCAGATCTGATTTGACGGTACACACACACACAAAATAAAAAAAGGAAAAAAAAGAAAATAATTGGGTTGCTTTGCTCCCCACTCCACTATATTTTAAAGCCTAGCGAGATCAAGATGCAAGGTACATAGTAAGTGGTCAGTAAACACTGGTTAAACAAACAAACAAACACAAAGGCTTCCCTCCTCCACCTAGGACGAAATCTTGCCTTCTGAGGGGAGTCCTGGAGCCCTTTACTCACTGGTGCCCAAGTACATGACCAGATGGCTTCTCCCTTCAAGGTCCTGGGCTGTCTCCACCACAATCTTTGTGTATTCCACGTCAGACTTCACCAATAAGGGTGTCCCCACCACCTGCTCATCCATTAGGAAATGGTCCTTCATGAAGGTCAAGGCTTTATCCGAGGAGGGTCCTACAGAACACTGGGAGGGAAACAAACAGGTCAGGCGTCTCTCCCCTTCCCTACAGCGGTTTACCTTTGCCTCCTGCTACCCCACCTCCTCGGGCAGCTGCCCTTTTTTGCCTCCCTTCCTCATGGCTTATACCATGCCGTCCTCATCTCGGAATGCTCAGACTCTGGAGCTTCCTAACTGAATTTCAGCCTCTGTGTGGCAGTTACCTCGACTGTGAAATGAGACGTTACCAAGTCCTACCTCATAGGTTTGCTGTGAAGGTGAGCTGCACTAATATGCAAAGAGTGAACAGAACAGCGTGCAGGATGCACAAAGTACTCAGTAAGAGACAGCGTTGTTACTATCACCTTCATCCGGGGTGCCTGGTGGCCAGCAGGAAGCACAGGGAGGGCTCTCTGCAGATGAGGATAATTTTTTACTCACATCTGTAGCCCCAGTGCCTGGTGCAGAACTTGGCATAGTCAGTGCTCAATAAATGTCTGCTGAGTCAATGACGGGGTGACAGAGGTCACAATAACGGTTGATGTCACCGGGAGTGTTTCTCATGCTGGTTTGTAGGAATTTGCTGCTGCTACAGGAAAGCCCCTTCTCTGATGTGGGGCTCTTTTCTCTCTTGTAAAGTGGAATGGTTGGCCCAGTTGTTCACTAAAGGCCCTGCCAGCCCCAGAATACTGTGACTCTGGAGCAATATTCTGATCTGGAGCATGGTCTTAAGGGCCAGTCTCAGCACTGCTAGTGACAAGAGTAAAAAAAAAAAAGTTCTCAGATATTATTGTCTGAGTTTCAACTTCTTCATCTGTAAACTAGTAACATTTACATCTCCTTTAGATTCTAGAAATGAACACACGTATGTACTCTTGCTTCTTCCTAAAGGGACTTTTAAAATCATAACTCTATAAAAGAAGAGGCAAAAGGAGCCACATTTTGGACACTGGCAAGCAAACAGACAAATGATAAATGACTGTGCTATAAAGGAAAAGAAAAAAAGAAGATCTTAAATCAGCTCTGAGGAAAGCACCCAACCATCATCATCTACAAAGCAGAATCCCTAAAAGCTCATGAATTGGTGATGTCTGTTATCTCTGGAAGTGAAGTTTAAGTCAACAAGAGGCTGATGTGCTGTCAAGTTGGAACTGACAGCTTACTCTCCAGCTGGGTTTTAGAAGCAATAATTTGCACAGGAGGAGACTGTCTATCCTTCTCCCATGGAGCAGATCGTGGATTCAAACCGCATGCCTTTGAGCTTGCAGCACTGCTTTTTACCATGAGGCCATCAGAGTTCCCTAAACAAGAGCCTCAACAAAGATAATTATTTAAATATCTATTTAAGATGCAGGTAGATCTTCTCCAAGTTGCACAAAGATGTATGACTACCCCTTCCACACCTGCCCTAACACTGGAGATGTAGTCAGTCTCTGTTGTTGTGTGCTGTCAAGTCAGAAGCCACTCATAGCTAAGCTTCCAGCGGGTTTTCTGAGGCTGTAAATTGCTCAGGAGAAGACTGTCCATTTTTCTCCTGTGGAGAAGCTTGGATTCAAACTATGTGCCTTTGAGATTGCAGCGCAACTTCTCACCAGTGAGCCACCAGAGTTCCCTTAGATCATCCTTGTTGTTAGATGCTGTCAAGTACAATTTGAACTCTGATGGCTCCGAGGTAAGGAACTCTGGTGCTAGTCCAAAGGTACATTGTTTGAATCCACCAGCTGTTCCATGGGAGAGAGATGGGCCATCTCCTCCTGTGTGTGTTCCTGCTTCTAAAACCATGTCAGCTACGGGTTGGTGCTGACTCAACAATACACTGCAGCAACAGATCATCCCGAGTGGAGTTAAAACAGAATCCATTTTACTAGTAAGTAATAATAAGAGCTGTAGTTTTGAAACAATTTTACAATTCTCTACTCTTTTTTTTTAATTTTTATTGTATTATTTTTATGTGTACCATCATATCAGATCTGACCGGTACAGGAGGAGATTGCCCCCTCCTTCTCCAGCAGAGCATCTGGTGGATTTGAACCACATACCTCTGGGATTGCAGTGCAACATCTTGCAATTCTCTACTCTTAAATAGAAGTATATAGTCAAAAATTATCAGATGTGTGGGCAAACTCATCAACATGAATGAGACCAAAACAAATAGTGAAAGGAAAACCAAATATCCAAGAGGAAACAAATTATTCAAAGTGAAGAAAACTTCATAGAAAAGTATCGTTATTACCCTCAGAGAAATAAGAAAATATAAGCATGAAACAGGAACTGATTACTACAAAGAGGAATATTTCTCATTTCACAAGAGAGCAACAGATGTTAGATGCTTCTTGAAGGACAAGAGCACACAACCAAGATGAAGGAGCCTTGTCCCCAAAATCAAACCTAAATCTGACCAGGGCTTTAGATGCAACTTCCTATCAATTTACAGAAAATAATGGAGATAAGACAACAGACTAGACAGATGGTAGCCCAGACCCTTTCCCCTAGGACACTAAAAAGCAAAGATAATGGATACAGATGATAATTCTGGAACTCTGAGCCTAAAAAAACCCAAAACCACAAAGAAGTAGTTTAATTACTCATTGGAGGAAGAAGCTAAATGGAAACATCAAAATAAGGAGATAGAGCACAAAACTAGGCCACCGGAGTCTATAACTTTAGTTAAATTTTTATTCAAACTATATATTAAAAAGAAGAAAAGAATAGGAAAAACATTCCAAACACTTAATGATATTCACAAGACTATTGAAAATTTGAACACTGAATACATAATTTTTTTAAATTATTATTAAAATTTCTCTTACATCCCATGGACTGCCAAGAAAACAGATACGTCTTGGGAATCTTGGATGATACCATCCCACCAGTGGTGCTGACAACAGACATGTCTTGGAGAGGGTGAAGCCAGATTGCACCTTGTTGGAAGGAAGCAAGAATGGAAGGCTTTGTCTTGCACATTTTGGGCATGTTGCTAGGAGAGGCTATTTCTTGGAAAAGACCATTATATTTGGAAAGGCAGAGCACCAGCAAAGAAGAGGAAGACCTTTAGGCAGGTGGACTGACACTGTGCCTGCAGCAATGGGCTCCAGTGTGTTAGAGATTCTGAGATTGGTAGAGGAGAGGGCAGGGTTCAGATCTATTGTTTATAGGGTTGCTAGGAGTTGTACTTGACAGCACCTAAGAATAATAATAAACTGGAAAAATGAATACTGACTACATATACAATTTTTTAAAATTATTAAAATTGCTCTTATATTTTATACCTCTATTCTAAAATATCCATTAATTAAATTATATGATGTTCACAATTTGCTTCAAAATATTAAGTGTGGGAGTGAGTGGGGTATAAAATATATATATTTGATTATAATTTGAAGCTGGCTGAGGAGCACTTTGAGGTTCAGCATATCATTGTTTACTTTTTATACATTGGAAATGATCTATAATAAATCATTATTTTAAAAAAATAAAAGGTATGTTCAAAAGATTGAATGTCTTAGATACTAAATATTTCAGCATAAATGAACAAAAACCTCATGGATTGGTATATAAACTAGAGAAACTCTACCAGAGACTAGAATAAAAACTGGAAACAGTAAAGAATTTTAAAAGAAACCAACCCAGAAGACCAGACCAAGAGGTTCAGGAAAAAAAATACGAAAAAGAACACATTAGATGGTAAGCATCATAAAGGAAAGAACTTCACTGGGTGCTGTAGGCTTTTTCAAGAAAAGCCTCGCTGGCACTTCCTCTCCCTCTTTGGGGGGGGGCGGGGGGAGAGGGCTGGGCGGGGAGAGAAGTGCAGCAATGAATGAATGGAAATCCAAATTCTCTGTAAATGTTCATTAAAATTATTTTAAAAAAGCAAAAGAAAAAAGGGGGTTTTATTATTATTGTTTTTTGTGTGTGTACCATCAAATTGAAACTGACTGGTA